AATAAGGCTAGTAAGACTTTTTGGATTAGCGAGACTAGCAGGATGGAAATATGTTGAAGTTGGTTCTGGTTCTCCGGTTAGGTAGACACCACAGTAAGGTCGAAGGATGGCAAGTCATACTAGTTGAGAAAGTTGAGCATGTGCAGTCTGGTAAGTTCATTAAGTCAAGAGAGTCGAGCTGGTCGAGCAACTCTGACTGGCAAGCATTACTCCGGTCTGTTCAATGAGGTACGGCCCCTCGGCGAGTATCGCGCGGGCTGTGATTTAACACTTGAATGTGGTTAGAACTCGCAAGGGTTCAATGTGCAACCAGATCCAGAGAACGTCATAGGTTTTAGGTAGGCGTCGGCCCTACCAAGGTGGTAAGTGTGTCCACCACACACTGCCAATTGAGTCAAACCAAGCTAACTGTGTCAATGAATTTTCATTGATTTTCTGGAAAGTGAAGACAATTATGGGAATCTGTAGGTAATTATAGAACAAAAATACACTTTGGACGGTTTTTCGAAATTGCACTTCGTTTTTGGTTTTTTTGGTGTTATAAGAATATTGCAATTTTTGAGAGAAAAATTCGTAACTCGCGACCCATTTGATGAAATTTGATGAAATTTTTTTTGAGAGTTGCTGAAGCTTTTCCCTTTACAATAGAACGATTTGCAGAATAAAATTTGCAAAAAAATTAATAACAATAATTTAAACAATTGCAATTATTTATATATTCTAAGACCGCGATTGCAGTGAAATTTTGGCACAATATACGCTAAACTCTTGTTTTTAAGTTCCAAAAAGAAAAAAATTGGTCTTTCCAATTTTGACAGTCGCTATCGATTTGTTTCTATACTGACCACTATATAAAAGCAAAATGACTCCAGTTACTATAGCTTTGTTTACTCACAGAAAGTCTTCTATATCAACGCATCGTATAAAGTGGCAGGGTTCGTAATTGTTCTGCTCATCGCCATAGCAATAGGAATATGACCACGGAGCATTGCCGCGGCAGGGCGCATGTCCCAACAACTGCTGAACGTTCACCCCAGGTGCGCCAGTTGGCGCTTGCTGGCAGCAGCTGGCAGGACGTGGTTGAGCCGGCGGCAAACGGTCGTTGTAATCGTACATGGGATATGTTGGACGAGCCATCGGCGGTTGATTGAGCCATTTCGCGTGCGTATTCCTCACTTGTTCTTGCGCATAGTGTTGATGTTGTTCTTGATATTGTTGCAGCTGTTGGAATGGAGGACTTAACTGATATTCGTTTTGAATGAGCTTTTGTGGCTCAGGTAGTCCTTGTTGTTGCAAATGCTCGATATGCTCGTTGTGTTGAAGTTGTTGTATCCGCATCTGTTGGGTATGTTCATTTTGTGGCGGAGCTTGTTCCATTGGGTAAGTGATTCCCGGAACTGCCTCGAGAGCGGGGTAGTGTCGCGGAGGATAAACCGTTACGCCGTATGATTGATCCTCACATTCGTACTGATGTTGGGGCTGAAACGATGCATAGGACTGTTGCTGGGCCATATAATTACTAGACGATTTCACTATTTGATGTTGTTGCTGGATACCGGGTCGAATGGGGACTGGCGCATTCAACGGCTCGTAATCCTGCAGCGAGCCAACGAAAGCGCACT